TAGCTTAATTCATTACTTTAATTCAAAATAGCGGGACCAAAATGCCATCCAGGTGCTTACAAACACAGTGTTGCGATCGAACATCCAATCATGCATTCATGATATTAGCAGAAATTGTAAGGATATGTATTTGGTAGACAAAATAGATTATGCAGTTAAAGAATATAGTACATCAAGGATTTTCAATTTTCATGAGCGTAGGCATACATGGTATCATACCAATCTTTCATGATATCCATCTATGATTGGTGGAACTTTTTCGAATTATGTGACATTACTCTCAGAAAAATAGCTTATTCATTACTTTAATTCAAAATAGCAGGACCAAAATGCAATTCAGGTGCTTATAACCATCGCGTTGCGATCTAACATCCATGCAGTCATGCATTCATGATATCAGCAGAAGTTGTAAAATAATATGTATTTGGTAGACAAAATACAATTTTCCTGGGCGTAGGTATACAGTGTACATGTTATCGTACCGATCTTTCATGATATCAATCTTGCCGATTTATCGCAAATATACATAAACATATATGCGCAGAGTTTAAAGTCTTAGATTTCGTTCACAAATGAGCTTGCTTTCTCAAGTTTTGAACAGTAAAGTATTGACAATGTATGCAAGTCAAATTAATTTTGTGAAATAACTGAAAAAGAAGTTTTATAATTCTACTTTTGAGCGATTGAATAATGAATACAGTTTAATGTAAAGGCCAGATTGAAACCCAATCCAACGCCGAATCTGAGGCGTAATCTGAAGCCTAATCTGCGGCTAACCTCAAGGTGGTAATAAAATTGTCATTGGAATTTTTTGATCAACAAATAATGCAGCGGAATGTTGTTATAAAATAGACGAATTTAATACATTTTGGTTGATTTGAGTAGTGGAATACGAAACAAACGTGTCAAGGCACCGCATACTTACGCGCCGAATGCCGCTTCACTTTAGGAAGCATGTGCATGGGACGCGGAATGATATCAACTGACGCTTATCAATTTCGTGTTTGGCGGCTTCAACCTATCGATCTTGTTATTAGGCCTATTCCCCCAGCGGCGGTTTCATTTAATGGTAATAACTTCGTCGGGACTTGAGCAAACGTATTCCTTTGCCTACCAGAAGAGTAAAAGCGCTTGTCCGGTGAAGTTCTATATTTTGAATAAACTGCGTCTCACTGAATTATCATACTGAGTTACTGACCAAATTTTCTTTATAACCATGATATGTCAATTCCAGCGTTCATCAACTCTTTTCTGTCAGATTGCCTCAGTTCATTCGATGTCCGTAATTCTTTACAGCTCCACACCAAGTCAAATTTTCAAATTTTCTTTCTCGGTAACAAGATATTGCTCTTTGTTGGGATATTTGTCAAAGTGAACTTCCTTATCACATTGACCTTTGTTCTGCGTGTTCGTTGTTGACATATGTTTGGTTAGATGATCTTTCATTCGGTTTACATGTGCCCAGGGAAACATTCGAACTTTGGACTATTGGATATCGCCTTTTTGTGGCTGTTGACAAGCTTATCCTGTTACTATGAGATTATAACCATGTTTGAAAGTGACAAACGTGTTGTCTCATTAACTTGAATTTATATATTGTTATATATAAATTTGCTAACAAATCAATTTCGCGCACTGAAATTAAGTGGTCTTAATTTATTTACACCGCAAAATTTGCGGTGTAAAATTCTAGCCGATGCCAGGGCCTTATCAGCACGAAGACCCTAGGGACGAAGTTGCTTTCTTTGGAGACACCATTCGTCTGCTGACAAATCGGAAAATGACCAAGATAGTCGCCGGTATTCTAAAAGCTCACACTCACACTCAATGAGTGGAGGTTCAATCTGAGCTTCTTTTGAGTATCAATGCTGTTTTTGAATAGCTGGAGGGTTAGTGTCGTAACTTGCTGTGTAACTACTAACCCTCCAGCTATTCAAAAACAGCATTGTCACTCAAGAAAAGCTCAGATTGAACCTCCAGTCATTGAGTGTGAGCGAGCTTTTAGAATACGGGAGAGTTGCTCTGATCGATTGATTTACATATTTTATTGACATATAACTATTGACATTGCTTTTTAGGCTTTTATTTTTATTATCCAACCTTTCAGTTAATTGTTTTGTTGTTCTCAGTACATATCCAATATTTTTGTCATTCCTAATTTATATGCCACACCTAAAACTCTTCGGTGCCCCCCCCCCCTGCCATAAATAAAGACCGTTCCCAAAGAAGCTGTCTGTTTTAACTAATACAGAAATATTTGATTATATTAACACACAGTGTTGTGTAATATTATTAATTTATTACTAAAATTTTAGAAACAACATAATTATAAAACCTTAAAGCAAACCGAACTGATTTAATGAAAAGCATTTCAGCATCTACAATCGTTTTAAATATAAAAGTTGTTGGGCCACTTGCGGTTTAGATTATCAGTGGATATATACATATTATTACAAACATTTTTATTTTCCCTCCCACTCCCGATTCAATGCCATTTCCTGTACGATACGGGGAAAAACGCGGGAAAATTGACAACAGATTTTTTTGCTGTCTGCTATGGCAGCTTTTTTCGAAAATATTATCTGTAAAACTGACCTTGAAAGTTGAAATAATACTTCTGAGAAAACAAAAAAATGACATTTAAAGCAAAAGATGCTGGAGTCTATCGGAAAAGGAAACCTTTGTATTATTGTCGACTTGTGATAGTTTGAATGGCCAAACAAACAAGCAACAAGGCTACAAAAGTCTAACAACACCAAAATTGTAAGAAATATGAAACTATTGTTAAAGAATTAAGATTACAACTCACTCATGTAATGTAGCGTTCATTTTTTAAACTTGTACTTACAAGAATGAATCCTGCCACAGGCATAGTTCGCATTTTTCCGCACGAATCAATAACACTTGTCCGTTTTCTTGTGATTTTTGACGTCTTGTTTTCTTTCATATTAATGTCAAATTCAAAAAGTATACTTTCATTCCATAGTTGTCTTGATATTTCACAGAATAATCTATATATTGACGATAAATTCGCTTCTGGATAAACACAATCGCGACATTGTCATATTTTCAACACAAATTAAAATATGGGAAAAACCCGGTCGTTATTACCTCCGCCAGGAGGTTATGTAATCACCTGGGTTTGTATGTGTGTGTGTATGTGTGCGTGTATGTGTGTGTGTGTGTTTGTCTGTGAGCACGATAACTCAAGAAATACCAAACATATTCATACGAAATTTTTTGAATGCATATTTGGTTGAATTTGGTTAAAAATTGAACGAGAAATAAACAAAATTTTGTCTTGCTTTTTCCGGTCAATTAAAAAATTCACTGAATGCGTAATTAGGACGTGTGATAATTTATGCACCAGTATACAGGGTGTATAAAGGTATACAAACAATGCTATAATCTTTTTAGATTGTATACAATTGTAAATCTCACTTATATAAGGGAGGCTGCTCAAAAATCATGTGCTTTAGAAATATATTCTAATTTCGTAATAATAATAATAGGTCAATAGTTATATATACACGCTGGCAATATTTTAGGTACGTTTTATACGGCGAATTTTGCTGGCGTCGAATATGATTAAGACAATAGTTAATGGACGAGATGATAAACCTCATTAAGCTTCACCCTTCATTATCTATTGTATTCACGCGACCAAAATTCAATGTAGGCTTACGGAGTTACGCATCGTTGCGTTCAGCAAAGTGCTAGGCCATTCAAATTCTAATTATAACAGTAAAATAACCTGCAAACCAAGGGAGGTTTAGTAAAAGTCCCTCGGCAGTGTCTTATGATTGTGGGATGAACACTTTTCATATCATACGCATGCACAGAAACACATCTGCGTGTTCATTCTTTTTAGGCATGCGCATAAACAGAATTTTCTCCCACAATTGAAATGTTCAAGATTACGGAATAAAAACTAGCAAAGTGATTGTTCAAATGTGTGCGGAACGGTGTCGTCTGTGAGATACTGTCCATAGTTGTGCAGATGAGTTTTGATGGGGTACAGCTCTCCAATGAGAGGTAATTAGGTATGCTTTTGTCTTCTAAATTTCCGTGATCAAGTATGCAGGGAAAATTAGAAGACAAAGAAATCTTTGCTTTTCATCTAAATTTTCAGGTGGAAATTTCGAAGACAAAAGCGTATGCATAGGAAATGGATTTAAGTGTCATTTGATAAATGCATAAATATTTATTTTGCTTTATGCACTCGCGTTTATACACCCTTGTAGGCTGTATGGGCGGAGGTATGCAGTCTCTGAGTGTCCTCTAGTTATTGTAGTACTCGTTTACACATTTTGTTGTGGGCACAACATATCTTAAAATACACGCAATAATCGTTGTAAAGCGAAATAAGCAACAAGAAACAAGCCGTTAGATCGACACAATAACATCTGAATTTGGCTTGTCAAGCAATTTTCGCTTGTGTTCCCGCGTTTATTTTCGTTCCTAGGATACGATGCCCCGATTGCGATTTATGGATCAGGTCTATACCACACCATAATAGGATGTTAACTGAGACCCAATAAAATAAAATTGTGGAAGGGGGAGGAGTAGGTGTTTGTCAAAATTATAGCCGAAATGTATTCAAGTCAGATAGCCGTGTGAAGTTGAACATTAAATAAAACAAGTTAAACATTTAAGCATAAACATTACTTGCATGCATGCAATGCTAATTTGCTTGCTTTATCATCGTTGACGACTCGAAAAGGTAAATCATTGATGAACTTTACACTTCGCAATCATTGATGAACTTTACACTTCGCTAATGCTTTCGTTTCCCCGGGTGTAAATAGCCGGGCGGAAGTAGTACACTAGCCCATGGCTTACGCCCAGAACGGCGCTCCGCGCCGTTTGGCTCGGGGGTCGTATCCTATCGTAAAAAATTATTTCACGACCCTAGCCTCGTCAACATAAGTTGGTTTTTATGAGGGGTGTCGATTACCATTAACATAGTTATAATTTTTTTTATTTTTACGTTTCTAAACAGAAAAAGACGACGAAAGAGGAATTCTAATACAGAATCACCGATTGCAATTGTTGCCATATCACCATCTTTGCCCAGAGTAAAACGAGGATTTTTCGGTGGTCTTCGCAAAGCTGCTAAAATATTTGCTTTGCCTTTTGTTTTACCGTGGAAGCTTATAAACACCGGCATATGTTACAGTTGGTATTATCTCCAAGACACAGATGAAATAAAAAAATTGCAAGGTAATAGATAAAAGTATCTGAGTGTTTTTCTTCCATAAATGTAGCAGTAACTGCCATATAAATAACTATTTGCGCGAACTGGGGCCGGTTGGATAAAAAAGTTGTTAAAGTTAACTGCAGTTAGGATTAACTACCGTAGTTAAATCCTCAACTGTGATTAGTTAACTACATGACTTGACTGAGTTGCACCATGGATTGCAAAATAACTAGATATAGGAAACTTTGTGCCGTCACATTCTAAACCTAGTTGCCAATTGGCTTTCAAAACACAAATTGAAATCGAAAAAAATAACAATTTAAAACCAAGCTTAACATTTGTAAACATGACTAAGTCACAATAAAAGGATAAATCTACTTGTTGAAGTATGCCATGGGAAAATATACAGATTTACTTTAAATTCTCTAAATTTAGGCTGCTATTGGCGACGCAACAGTATAAAATACCAAAGATCAGTATAAAATACCAAAAGACAAGAGCAAACACATTGTAAAGCAAAAAACATGAAAAGGTAAAAAAGATCTCAGTCAAAAGCATAGGAAACTAGAGGACACTCAGAGACTGCATACCTCCACCCGCATTGAATTTCGGTCGTGTGCAATGCTACAAAGACAATAGATAATGTAGGCTGAAGTTTAATGAGGTTTATCATTTCATTATTGTCTTAGTACTGCGTGCATACATTATACACGTCCTAATTACGCATTCAGTGAGTTTTTCTTAATTGACCGGGAAAAGCAAGACAAAATTTTGTTCTTTTCTCGTTCAATTTTTAACCAAATTCAACCAAATTTTAATCAGTTCTTCCTTAGCCGATGGAAAATGCACTCAAAAAATTTCGTTTTTCTTGAGTTATCGTGCTCACAGACAAACACACACACACACACACACACACACACATATATACATACATACATATGCATACATACATACATACAAACCCAGATGATTATATAACCTCCTGGCGGAGGTAATCAACAATACTTTGCCATCATTCGCCATTGTTGACATCACGATTTGCAACTGGGTTTCAACATCTCTCGAGCAAAAACAAAGATCTTTGAGCCAATCAGCGGGATGGAAACAAGTCATGTGACTACCGTTTCCTATCCAGTTATTTTACAATCCATGGTTGCACAAAACCCAGTTAGTCGGGTATAGTAAACGAATTACGTAGTTAACTGTGCGTGGGGCGTTTAAACACAAAATTACATAAAGTACTAAGCAGTGATTACTTAACAATTAGACAACGAGGCCGAGTTGTCTATGAGCGAATAGTCAACGAGGCGAAGCCGAGTTGACTATTTGCTCATAGACAACGAGGCCGAGTTGTCTAATTGTTTTAGTATAAACTTTAACATTAATTTACAACTAGGCTGGAAACACAATACAAAAAATAAGTCAACGAGGCGAAGCGGAGTTGACTATTTGCTCATAGACAACGAGGCCGAGTTGTCTAATTGTTTTAGTATAAACTTTAACATTAATTTACAACTAGGCTGGAAACACAATACAAAAATACACAAAAAACATTATAAAACCATTAAAGGTAAACAAATATTTTAGTTTTTGTTCGCGTAAAATGTTTTACAATTAAAATTCAGTTTTAATTTTAAAATTTCATTGAGTGTATGTTATTTTGTCTATTTTCTTACCCTTAAAAATTGCCATTCCATATTTTTGTTGCTTTTTTCGGGGTATTTTAGTACAGAATTGTTCAACAAGTCGTCCAAAAAATCATCAGACACTTCGGCATAAGTGCAAAACGCGAATTTTCCGCCATTTTGAATTTTCTATTAGTAGGCTATCACTAATAGCCTACTAGTAGCGTAGCCAATCAGAAGGCACGATATGTGATAGCCTATTAGTAGGTTTATACTAAAAGTGATTATACGTAGTTTTTATGAGAACAAATTACACGGAAAAAAACGCCGAGGCCGTTGCTCAACAAGACTGAACAATGTTTTGCTGCCCACGTTGTTCACACTTGTCAACAATATTGAACAATGTTGTTGAGCCTGAACAATACAGCTATGAACAATATGGGCAGCAAAACATTGGTCAATCTTGTTTTCATCCGTATTGCATCAACCTGAGCGTTTTTACGCGTTTGTTG